AGGGGAAAATGTAAAACTATACCCCAAAATATCTGGGAAATGAAAAATTATAAATTCTCAAAATGATACATAGGAAAATGATTTACAAAGGGAAAAAGGAAAATTGAACTTAGTATCTTTATACTTTAAAGGAGTTCAAGAATTTAGGAATAGTTCCACCTCCTAAAATCTTGGAGAAAAAAACTCACTTCACAAAGGGTTCAGATATTCACATTGTGTCCAAGAGACTAGGCAATTGGGAATCTTGCCAGTTAGATTCATAAAGCAATCCCAAAGCCAGAATGCAATTCCTTAAGGGGTGGTTTCTAGATGTTTGTTCTAGACATTTTTTAAAGATGTTTATTTTCGACGTGAAGAAAGAAAATTATTACAGACTCTAGACATAAATATTGGCTTTAAAAGTATTAATTTGACTTGTTCATCATAATTGTGATCCGAAATATCTCAATAATTTTGTTTCAGTGTTATTTTCTTCTCAGGAGGAAAGGAATGTTAAAAGCTTACTAGCAACTAACACTTGATAAAGATTTAAACTATATAACAATTTTAAAGAAAGTCTAAAACACGAGATAGTCTTGAAACCTCGCATGCTTCACCGTTTAATAAAATTATGACTCATTTTAGTAAGAACATGCTTTTTTAGTAAAAAAAAAAAAAATGCTTTCTGAGCTAAGTTTGAACTGCTAGGGCACATGGGACACCCACAAACCCAGTCAGCAGAAGTCTCAAACTCCTAAAAGATTAAAGGAAAAATACATTAATGTGTACAGAGAATGAAAAAAAAAATCCCCAATGGTTCTAATCTATAAACGGAAGTAAAACTAAAATTCCCCTAAAATACCCCCAATCATCAATCCTTATAAATTGAGCACTCTTCTTCCTTTACTTCTGGAGACCCTCATGAAACAACAGCAAAGCCTTTGCTTTCATCTCGTAAAATAGAACCCTCAAATGACACTAAGCACAGATACCGACCTCCAAAATCACAAACTCTTTAACTTCTAAAACCATGCATGCAAACGTGGAGTTTCCTAAGTTCTGCTAGGGGCGGGTTGTCTGGACCCCCGTGTTGTTGTTTTTTGTTGTTGTTGTTGTTGTTGTTGTTGTTTTGCAGGTGTGCAATCCAGGGCGAGCGCGGTGCAGGGAGGGGAGCAGAGGTGTGCAGTGGCAGAGGGAGCAGAGGCACCGCCTGGGCCGGGTGGGGCGGGGTGGGTGGGGCCCGGGTGTGTGCCGGGGTGAGAGTGAAGGACATGTGACAATACCACGGTGGCGGCTGCAGGATCTGGGAGGGGAGTGAAAGCTCGGCCGGGGCGCCCCATTAGTGAGCGGTGATCGCTGCCGCCCACTTGTATTGAAGCGTCCTTTGTCACTAACAAGTTAAATTAGATATGTTCTTTATTTAAGAAGGAAAAAAAGCCCTCGCCAAACATCCTATGAACACACATGCTCACATCTCCTAGTCCTCCAACTCCTAATTTCCCCGACATCCAATCTTCAGTGTGAGAGTTTCCCCCACCGCTCGCCGCCCTTGCGACAGTCAGTGGGAGCTGAAGGACCTCGGGTGCCGCTGCCCGGGCGCACGCGGAGCGGGGAGACCGACGTGCGGCGGCCGAGGAGGAGGGGAGGCGGCGGGACTAGGCGCAGGTCGGCGCCGTCGCGGCCCCCGGCCGCCCCTCCCAGGCCCCGGGCTCCCCGCCCGCGCGCCTCCTGGGCCTCGCGGCGCGCCAGGCGCAGCGCGGCGGCGCGAGAGCCGAATGGTAGCCGCGGCCCGGCGGGCCCGACAGCCCCGCTGGCGGCAGCCAGGGCGACCGCGGAGGCGGCGGGCAGGGCGCGTGCGCACTGCAGGGGCGCCAGATTTGGCGGGAGGGGGAGTGTCCAAAGCTCTTTGTTTGATGGCATCTCTGTTTACAGAGTTTACACTTTAATATCAACCTGTTTCCTCCTCCTCCTTCTCCTCCTCCTCCGTGACCTCCTCCTCCTCTTTCTCCTGAGAAACTTCGCCCCGGCCGTGCGGAGCGCAGCTGCGCAGCCGGGGAGGGACGCAGGCAGGCGGCGGGCAGCGGGAGGCGGCAGCCTGGTGCGGTCCCCGCGGCTCTCGGCGGAGCCCCGCGCCCGCCGCGCCATGGCCCGAAGACCCCGGCACAGGTAACGGGGAGCCGGGCGGGCGGCCGAGGGCGGGGGCGCGCGGGGCGCCAGGCTCCCGGGCGCAGGTGGGAATTTGTTCCGGGATCATCTGCGGGGCTGTCAGACCCTGCGAGGACCTGGAGCCCTTGCCTCGGCAGCAGAAGCCGCTCCAGAGACGGATGAATGGAATAGTCTTTACGGGAAACGTATCCGGACGTTGGGAAGCACGCCCTGCGGCTCATTTTGCAAGTTGCATGGGGATACATTTTTCTTTAGGGGGAAAAAGAAAGCAGCACGTTCCAGCCGGTGGCAGAGCGGTGCCCACCAGCCCCGGGGAGCCCACCAGGTGCCTGGTTTGATGCCGCGGGTGTCGGCGAGGGATCCGCAGCGTAATTGCTGGATGCATTGAGATATGTTTGGACTTGGAAGTGCAGAGCATATGGCAGATACAGGGAAAATGCTGGATTGTTTAGTTTAGTAGCTGCAGGTAGTTCATTTAAATTTCATTCATTCTTTATGAAGGTGAGGACCCGTGTCAGCTGACAGGCGGCTGAAAAGCAGGTTTTAGGGGTTAAAGAGGTCCCTACTTTTGCAAATTGTGTTAAGACCTGGTTTTGGAGGTTCGAATCATTACTCTCCGAAAGGCTTTTATTTCCACTGCAAACATTGCTCGCGCACCCACACGCGCCGGCATCGCACATGTCACTGCACTTAGGGAGGCTCGCCGGGAAGACATGGGTGCCATCCCCTCGCATTTTTGGCTGGACAGATGTGAAGAGGGAGAGGAGGAGGAGGAGAGAAATCCTTGTCCGAACTGTCAGTTGCTGGCTCCCCAGCCTCCACCGGCCTCCGGACTTCCCCGGCAGCACTCGCCGGGGCTCCCTCCGAGCTGCGGGTGCCGGGGCTAGCTCGGCTGCCGGCGCGGTCACCACTTGGCGCAACCGGACGGAGGCCGGCGGCACTCAAGGCAGCTGCCGCGCAACCGGGACGCGATCCCCTCGGGCTCTGCCCCCAGGCGAGAGGTACTCGCTCGGCGCGCACACGTGGAAGTGACTGAGTGCGCCGCACCTCCTTGCGCCCTCCTCCAGCCGCCTTAGGTCGCCCCCGCGGAAGCGCGGTGACCCGACGGACCCTCGCGAAGGGGCTCTGGGGAGAAGACTGTGGAGGCAAAGCAAATCCACTCGCCTTTCCTTAGGTTGTTTGGTTTTCTCCTACTGGTTTGTGGTTGAGCCTGCGGGAGCTAGTCCCCGCGCGGCGCTGGGAAGTTGCAAAGAGCGTAGGTGCAGACCCTGCAGCAGCACCCGCGGGCTGGGCTGGGCGGGGAGCAGCGCCCGGGCCTGGCTGGGTCTAGGGACCAGAGGGCAACTTGGGGGAGCCCTGGGGTCCATACGCCTCGCCCGGACCCTGGCCGGTCGGGGCAAGGTGCTGCCCCTCTAGGGTTCCACTTTTCGCCTTTAGGACTTCACAGGACAGCAACCGGGGTCACCTGTGTTTTTCTTTCTTTCTTCTCTCTCTCTCTCTCTCTCTGTGTGTGTGTGTGTGTGTGTGTGTGTGTGTGTGTGTGTGCGCGCCCTGGCAGCCGGAGGAGGGAGCCGGGCAGGGGTGCTGGGAGAAGGCGCGGCCAAGGCTACGCGCCCCAAGGTCTCGGCCGCCCCCGCGGGGCGGGGCCGCGCAGGTTCCCTGAGGCTCCAGGTAGCCCAGAGGGGAGTCGGCCGGGAGGGGCGGGAGCCTTGAACCTGCCTCAGGGGGAAGAGAAACCCGACTGCGGGCTCCGAGCCGTTTCTTGCAAGGACGAGCGTCAACTCGGCCGGGATTATATTAACCAGGTCAGCGAAATGAGTTTGAACCCCATCCGAATCACAGTAGCGGCCACAAGGCACTTCCTCCCGCTCCCCTCCCTCTTCCCAACCCCCAGCACCTCTTTTCTTTTTCGTTTCTTTGCACGGTTTGTTTCCTTGACAGAACGTAATATTCATAGTTGTACTCTTGTAACCACACCGGGTCTAGCAGGTGGGGAGTCGAGTGCATCAACCCTGAAATCAGCCTTTGAAAGTCCTCTCTGACTGTTGGGTCTGAGATCTTGTCAGTGCAGATAAAGGAAAAGTTATTTCAGGTTCCTTAGTAGAAATTAATCATGCTGCTAGGACGACTTAGAGCAAGGAAATCTCATGCAAAGCTCAAAGGCAGCCTGGGTGCCCAGCCTGGCGGGGAGACTCAGGAGCTGGTAGCGTGAGCAGCTCCGGACTCGCCCTGCTGCGTCCTGGCCCCTTCAGGACCTTTAGAAGTCACGCTCCACCTTGCCCCCAAGACCTTGGTTTTGCACGTCTCTGCCTCAGTGCCTAACTTTTAAGTGGCTCGGGAAGACATGGCATGGTCATGTACTAGCTTTGGAAAGTACCTTAGAAATAGGATCCAAGCAAGCCCTATGTAAAGGCGGGGAATTGAGGTCTTGAGACAGAGGAAGTGATTTGTCCAAGCCATACAGTTAGGTGGAGGCTAGACTAGAACCTTTGCCTCCAGAACCCTAGTCCTGTGTGATTCTCATGCGCTCTCCTGACATTGGCTGCCCCCTGCGGGCGGCTGAATATGTTGCTTGTTCCTGGGTTGTTAAACTGCTGCTCAGAGAGAGGTGCTCATGACTATGAAAAATGTCCTCAGTTCTGAAAATGTGACCTCTAGATCCAGCCAAACCTGAAAAGTTGATTCGACTTGAATCTATGACTGCAGTTTCAGATTCCTCTGGTTTTCTTGGTGTCTCTCACGTTTCACAAGGGACTGCATTTGGGGGCTTTCCAAGGAGTTCCCTATGAATCTTTCAAAAGATGCTGATTTACACCTCTGGGCTTATAGCTTTTTTTTTTTTTGTTTATCTTTTTTTTTTTTTTTTTTTTTTTTGTTCAGAAGTTGTTTAGTGCCTTCTGTTGACAGTGGAATCAGAACTAGGCTATTGTTTCAAAGCACAGACACTAAATGAAAGGGATTATTACAGATTATAAATATACATTTCCTGGCATTTTATTTGGTGGTGGTGGTGGTGGTATTTTAAATTTGGATTGCATCATGTCATCATGCAACCTGGACTATCAGATTGTTGCTTAAAATAATAGTTTTAAATTACGAGAACCCCCAATTCAGGATTTTTGATAAGCACTTTAGCTTGACTTGTAGGGGGCTGGTAATGTGTGTATGTGAGTTAGTTTGGGAAGACAAACCTGTCATGAATATAACTTTTTATTTTAAAGACAATGGATTACATTATGATATCGCTTTACATCGTTTTTTTATTGGTCTCAGTTTGATGGGTTTCTCAACATTGCAATGACAAATTTTAGTGAAGGTTCTAAGATAGTATTTTTCCTATTTTAAGTCTTACAAGAAAAACTATAAAACAAACTGTGTCTGTAAAATTATTGTCATCTAATCAGTATATGATTAGTAAACAGTAAGCACAGAGTTACTTCTTCAAAAGTCATCAAATTTCCTAGGTTTGGTTAGCTAAATAAGAGAAAAAGCTCTTTTGAAAATAATAATGGGTTCTTTTAAATCCATGGATTTCTTCTGGGGAAATCCCTTGGTTCTGAATTAGGTCACATTTTATAGTATTTCAAACACCGTTCTGTCAGAGACAGAAAAAGCAAGAGTAAGTAAGACTCTGACTAACAAGTGGCCTAATTATTCACTTAGTTACTCTAGAAACTAAGTATTGTAAACATGGGCACAAGTTGGATCAACCAGGCCCGGAGTTGTGAGCAATTTGGTATTAATTTTATTTACAAAACATTAAGTTTGATCACTCAATGTTCTTATCTTTTCTTAGGTTTTAAAATCCTTTCCTCTTAGATTCTCCTAATCCTCTAGACTTTATGGGACGACTATAATTATGTTTGGGGGTGTATTGCTTCTTGATTTTTTTTCTTCTTTTAATAAAACAAAAGCCCCGTTGGAATAACATAATTGAATTATTTATTATGTTTGAGAAATATTTAAACAATGTGACAAATGCCAAAGATTTTGAGTGTGTACTTAAAGAAAGGACATGGGTTCTTGTTCCTTTTCTTGTCCTTAACCTTAAGTTTTGAACTTCATTGGTTGGAAGGTGGCCAAATGTGTAACTTGTCCCTTGTCTAACAGTAACAGCAGGTTCAGACATGCAGTAGAATAGGAAGGTGCCACGTCCCTTGGCTGTATCTGTGGATACCCATAACAGCAGAACCAGTTTACAATACTAGAGCAGCAGAATGCAGCAAACAATCTTGTTGTGCAAGTTTGCAAAGTTTTATCTTTGTAAACTTTGAAAAGATTATTGAGTTTTTGTGGAAATTTTGTAATCCAGTAGTAGTCTAAATCCTCATGTTTCAGCCCACATCTGCCCATTCCTATTTCTGCAGCATATATAGCAGTGACGAAGATGATGAGGACTTTGAGATGTGTGACCATGACTATGATGGGCTGCTTCCCAAGTCTGGAAAGCGTCACTTGGGGAAAACAAGGTGGACTCGGGAAGAGGTAACTGATCATTTTATCAAAACAGGGAAAACAGATGGAGTGTATAATTTATAAAAAACAGAATTTCAACTAAACTACAGGTGCTCCAGCTCATTAGCAGGCTCTTTGATATCTTATCCTAGCCTGCATGTACAGCGTGCCCTACACCCCGCCCCCCATTATATTATCCATTTCCACACTATTTGCAGTTCTTTGAATGTCCTCTTCTTCTCATTTTAGACTTCATCTGTGTTTCCTTCTGCCTGTTGAGTTCTCATTCTTTTGTCCCACCTCTTCTTCCTGCTTTTACATTGCCTATGAAGGCATTACCTCTTCTGTGAAGCCACCCCTGGCTTCACTGGACAGGATTGGATGCATCCTCCTGTTATCCCATGCATGGGTGCATGTTCTGCTTTATTGTTGCTGGGACATAGATGCCTCCTCTAGCTGACTGCAAGTCTGTTGAGGGCAGGGCTCAACGTCTATTCATCTTTTTTTTTTTTTCTTTTTTCTTTTATACGTGTGTGTGTGTGTGTGTGTGTGTGTGT